GGCCCCGTCCCCCTTCCTGTCTCTCCTCACGCAGTTCATTTCTCAAGCGCTGCGTCAGGCCGCCTCCTGGGGGGGTGAGTTTCTGCAGCAGCTGTGGGCGCAGGATGCTGCTAGCCGGCTCTTCCAGTCTGCTTCCTGCTGCCACTCCCCAGGGCGGGTGTGCAGGCGCCCGTGGCCCGTGACTCAGGGGCCGGGAACGTGTTGTGGAGCCAGTGCGAGGAAGCCGGAGCTCCTGCTCCAGCTCTGCGCCCCACCCCACAACAACCTCCAGCCTCAGCTGAGCAGGCGTCTGCTGCTTCACTGCTGGTGTCTGCACCCACGTGTCTGGACAGGCCAGGGCAAATGCCTCTTGCGTAGCTTGAGCACCTCTGCAGTGGCCAGAGGTGGGTGCTGCCCCACTGCAGTCAGATGCAGGCTGCTCACAGGGGGAGGGCAAAGGTGTTGGAGCTAGGTGGGTGCACCCAACAGTGGCAGTTAGTCCCATTCACCACTGCAAGATATGGTTGCTGTTCGTCTGGCAGCTGCTTTTGGCAGAGCTGGGGCCAGCACCCGGCAGCTGCGTTTCCCGGGACTAACGCATGTTGGTGTATGTTTCTGATAGTGCTGCATCTGGTCCTGTTCTATGAGAATCGGCTGCAAGATCATCACCTCGTGATCCCCTCGGTGCTCCAGGGACTCCGAGCGCTGGTGAGCTCACGCCCCCCAGCCCACAGCGCTGGGATCTGCTCTGGTGGCAGGGAGGTGCAACACCTGGGTACAGGTTGGAGCAGCCTGTCAAGCAGGGCCCGGCTGGGCTGTCAGCTCCTGCCCAGTGGCATTGCCCTGTCTCCTCAATGCCCCTGCTGTGCCCCTTGCAGAGGGGCAGGGGAGAGGAGACTGCTTTGATTTCCTGCCCCATGCTGGTACTGGGGCAAGGATTCCCTGGCCAGCCTGGGGAGCAGCATAGGTGATAGGTGTCCTGTCCTGTGGGGTGGTGAGCTCTCCCCAGGGTAGGAGAGGATTGTGTGGGTGGCTGCTGTACAGAAGCAGGAGCTCTGTTTTATGTCTGCCATCATGATTTGCTCTTCTTGCTTTTCTCTTTTCCTGTCCCCAGAGCATGTGTGAGGTGCTGTCCCCGGGGCTAGCGGTTTCTGTGCTCAAAGCTATCTTCCAGGAGGTACACGTGCAGGTGAGCAATGTGATTTCCCATCCTCCCATCCCCGCTCACTGGGTGTCTGGGGATGGCCTGCCTGCCCTGAGGACTGAGTGCATTCAGTAGCAGTGCAGTGTAGCACATCCTTCAGCAGCAGTGCAGTGCTCCTGTGGAGCTTAGAGACAGCGTGTCTTATTGCAGAGCGAGAGGCAGACAACAGCTGAGGTGCCTGTTTGGACCTTGTCCTCTCTTCTCTCAGCCCTGAAGGAGTTATTTCCTTTGCTCTGTTCTCCAGGCTGTGTTTAAGTGCCCCCAGCCCTCAAATTCTCCTCCAATTTAAGATTGTTTATGCTGGCCGGGCCTTGGGCAGCATGTGTGGCCCTGCTGTTACTGTGATGGTGCATTCAAGCAGTGATGGACACTGTTCAGGTGCCATTGCATAGGCATGTGCACGCTGCATGTGGTAAATGGGATCTGCATGCCAGGAAGTGGCAACTGAGCTGCTGGGGGTCCTGCCCTCTTCTGAAGAGCATGTGCTGTCCTTGGGTGGTGGGTGGCAGTGCTGCCCTGTGCGGAGGCTTGTTTTGATTGCTCTGCTCCTCCCTCCAGTCCCTGCTGCAGCTGGACCGCCACACAGTCTACAGCATCATCACCAACTTCATGGGCACCAGGGAGGAAGGTGAGGGAGCAGATGCCAGAACCACTCTGGGGTTGTCCAGGCTGGGAAGATAGCTCGCTTTTGCTTTCTCTGAGGGCTCTGTGGCTCTGCCTGGGGAGAGCTGGAAGGGCTGGAGAGGCTGGGCTGTTTTCATGCCATGTTGGTGAGGTCTGGCGTCCTGCACCTGCTCACCCTCCTTCTTTCTGCAGAGCTGAAGGGCCTGGGTGCTGACTTCACCTTCGGCTTTATCCAGGTGATGGACGGGGAGAAGGATCCCCGCAACCTGCTGGTGGCCTTCCAGATCGTGCATGATCTCATTACCAAGAACTACGCCCTGGGTGAGCTTGTGCCTGCTGTGTGGAGCTGATCGGGGAACATGTTGCTTTTCTTTGAGCTGTTGGAGGGATGGCCCTTGGGTCTGACCAGGGCTGAGGCTGTCCCTGACATGCTTTGGGAGCTGCAGAGCCAGCCTGTTATGGGTGCTAGGCATGGCTGCTGTGCCTCTTTTGCCTAGCATCTCTGCTCACTCCCTCTCTCCTCTGCTTGCAGGTCCCTTTGTGGAGGAGCTTTTTGAAGTGACGTCCTGCTATTTCCCCATTGATTTTACTCCAGTGAGTGAGTCTGCTCCGTGCCACTGACTGTTCCTTCTGGTGTTTTCTCAGGGGGTCATGTCCCCTCCAGGGGATGGGAGGAGAGGGTGCACAAGAGTCTTGGCTGGGCAGTGTTAAGCTGCGAGCTGTGCTACCCAGGCTGGTGCCAGGCTGGCTGCAGTGACTGGCATTACTCCTGCCTTGCTGGGGATGAGATGATACAGTCTTGGCTGATGGCTGGTTTGAGAGGCTTCCTGACCACTGACCTGCTCTCTGTGCTTCCCTTCCAGCCCCCCAATGACCCTCACGGTATCCAGAGAGAAGACCTGATCCTGAGCCTCCGGGCCGTACTGGCCTCCACACCCCAATTTGCTGAGGTAATAAACTCCTAGGGGGTTCTTGAGCACCCCACTGTTCCCTGAGCACAAGCTGCATTTCATAGCGCTGCAGCTCCCGCTGTGGCTCTGTGGGATGGGAACAACTGGGACCAGGAGCCTGCACTAGGGCAGCCCTGTCTCCTGCTGGGGCTGGGCATTGGGAGGGTGCTGATGCTGACACCCTGGGAAGGGGCTCTCTGTTGCAGGTGTCCCTCCGCCTCTGCTCTCCTGACAGAGGCTGAGCTTGCAGCCCTGCAGGGCCACAGACAAGGTGGTGCAAAGGTGGTCTGAGTCTAAGTGCCTCTCTCTGCAGTTCCTGCTCCCTCTGCTCATTGAGAAGATGGACTCAGACCTGCAAAGTGCCAAGCTTGACTCCCTGCAGACTCTGGTAAGGAGGGATCCCCTACTCCCTTCAGCCCACAGCTGGCCTGTGGCAGCAGCAGCCAGCCACCTCTGAGCCCTTCTTCCTGCCAGCCAGAGCCTCTCCCTTACAGAGCCACAATTTCCAGGGTTCTAGTTTGGCCTGCATCGCTCTTTCCTCTTTTTTTCTCCCTTCAGTGGTTCATGCAGTTCAGCATGAGCCTGCCAGGATGGGCAAGTGTCCCTGCTCTGTGTCCTCCTGGTACTGGCTTCTCATGCTTTCTCCTGGCTTCCTCTTGCAGACTGCTTGCTGTGCCATCTATGGGCAGAAGGAGCTGCAGGAATTCCTCCCCAGCCTCTGGTCGTCCCTGCGCAGGGAGGTGAGTACCACAGGGCCCCTTACAAATGCTCCACCAGAGTTGGGCTCCTGCTGAGCAGGAGTTCACAGCCAGACCAGGCGGACCCCACCTTGGACAGCCCCAGCTGGAAAGTGGGGGGACAGGCCAGCCCTGTCAGCATGTCCCTGGGGCTTGGATGTGCCACACTGCATGTTTGAAGCACGTGGGAAGCGAGGCGGGAGCCTGAGCCCTTCAGCTCGCGTTGGAAAGCATGAAGCCTGTGGTTGAGGTCAGCACAGAGCTAAGCTCATCCTACGGCCTCTCCTGCAGGTGTTCCAGACAGCAAGCGAGAAGGTTGAGGCAGAGTGCCTGGCCGCGCTGCACGCCCTCTCTGCCTGCCTCTCCCGCTCCGTGCTCAGCTCTGACACCGAGGACCTGTTGGATTCCTTCCTCAGCAGCATCCTGCAAGGTAGCTAGCAGAGACACCTACCCTACCTCGAGCAGCCAGGCCTGCAAACATCCTCCTAGCTAGAGATCTGCCCTCCTGTTCTCTTTGAAGCCTCTTCTCTTTCCAGCTCTCACAGCCACTGTTGGTTTCTCCAAGGGAATTGGCTGCAGGAAGGGAGGAGAAGGGGGCACAGTAGGAAATGCCTGTTGGACTGAGTTGCTTTCCTCTCTGCTGGGATTGAGGCGTCCAAGGCTGTGCCGTGCTCTTGGAGCTGAGTGAAGCAGCTCTTTTAGGGAGGCTGTGTGGCAGCTCAGAGCTGTGCCCCAGCAGCATGTCCCAGCCCAGATATCAGCTGCATCCCCGCACGCGAGGCAGAGGAGCTCTGCCCGTGCAGCTGACACCCAGCCTATCTCAGATTGCAGGCACCATCTGTGCGAGCCCGACATGAAGCTGGTGTGGCCAAGTGCCAAACTCCTGCAGGCAGCAGCGGGTGCCTCCCTCCGTGCCTACCACCGTGTCACCCGCAGTGTCCTGCCCCTGCTGCTGGAGCAGTACACCAAGCACCCGCAGGTGAGGGGCACCCCAGGCGCTGCGGTCAGAGGCAGCAGGGCTGAGTGCACCCGCTGGCTCTGCAGGGCTTGGTGGGAGCAGGGTGTCAAAGTGGGTGTCCTTCCCTGGCTGCGGGTGAGGACCCTGTGGGCACCCTCTGGCCTCGCAGCGCTGGGCTAAGGCGTAGCTGTGTCCCAGCAGTGACGGTGATCTGGGTTATGCCTTTGTGTCCCTGCAGAGCAGCCAGAGGAGGACAATCTTGGAAATGCTGCTGGGCTTCCTGGAGCTGCAGCAGAAGTGGGGACATGTGGAAGAAGGTGAGGCTGGCTGGTCCCTCTGGAGGCACCATGTCCCGGGGAGCTGCTGACTCTGACCTCACCTTCCCGTATGCTGACAGAGAAGGAAAGCTCACTGACCTGGGCAGCTGCATGTACAACCCCCTGCCATGTCCCAGGGACCCTGCATGGTTGGGTGTCAACCGGCAGGGCCCCCGAAAGGGTCTGTCAGGTGCTGTGGCGGTGGCTGTGTGGTGACAGCCACACACAGACAATGATTCTATGCCTCTCTCTCCAGATGAGAGCACTCTGCTGTCGCTCCGAGCCCCGGTTTGCTCTGTGGTGTTCTCAGCACTGACAGATCCCAGTGTGCAGCTGCAGCTGGTCGGGATCAGGACATTGACTGTCCTGGGGTCCCTGCAAGGTTGGTGCCTCATTTCCCTTGGGGACGCAGAGGGAGGTGTCACCCTGTTCTGGGAGACACAGTGCCACATGGCTGCTGGGACGTCCTTGCCTGCTGCCTGTGCTGCCTGTCGGTGCACAGGAGCAGTGGCAGCACTTCGTACCCCGGCCACGAGCTCCAGGGACTCTTGGTCTCTCTCTTGCCTATTTGTGCTGGGCACCTTGCATCTCTGGTGTTTGGTGCGCTGCTGTGTTGCTGCTAGCCTGGACGAGGGGGAAGGGTGCTGGCCAGAACACTGGCATCTTTGGCTTTGGCTGAGGGCAGGATTCCTCTACGGCTCTTGTTGCAGGCTTCCTGTCTCCCTCTGACCTGGAGCTGGTTGTGGATCACCTCATCCGTCTCGCTCTGCATGAGGAGGATTCCCAGAGCAGGTGAGCTGGTGCTGCTGCAGTCACCCACGCTCTGGGGAGAGGAACAAAGCCTGGATTTGCTGCAGAGAGGGGCTGTAGTCTGGGGGAAGGCACAGGAACTGTCTGAACTAAAAGACCATGTGGGTGTAAGAGCAAAAGGATAAACCAGGAGATTTCTGGGTTGGAGATTAGAAAGTCTGGGCCTGTCAAAGCAGGGAGCCAGTAGGGTTAAAAAGGCAGATTGCTGAGAAGTGGGTTTCTGGAGGCATCTTCTGGCCCAGATCTTTGCAGCTGGTGTACAACCAGCCCAGGGTTTGCAGTGCTCACATCACCCCTCCTGCTCTCTTCCCCCCTGGCAGCGAAGCAGCAATGGAGGCAGCCGGATCTCTGGCCCCCATCTACCCAAAGGTTTTCTCTGGACGCATGGTACCCAGGCTTGAAGAGGAGCTGCAGTCAGGTAGGGCTGGTGGCCTTGGGAAGGGAGCGATGTCTGGTTTTGGGGTGAAGCCTGTGCCATCCCTGTTTGGTCCCTACCAGGCAGCAGAGTTGTGCCATATGGTGTAGGTTGGTGGCTTTCCTTTGGGGATTCCCAGCACAGGCGCTGTGGTGCTGGCCCAGGGAAGGCCGTGCCTGGTGCTGGCAGCCAGCCTGCGCCTCCGGGATCACCCCTGCAGTGAGGAGCTGCCCAGCCGCAGAGCAGGCAGAGTGCCTGGGGCCTGGCATGGGCTAGTTCGGCTGTGCTGCTTCACCCCATCCACCCTGGCAGGGTCTGGGCCCTGAATGCCCTTGGGTGAGGGGTGCCCAGAGTCACCCCAGTGCCCCTCTGAGGTGAGTTTCCTCTTCAGGGTGGGAGGAGGAGAGCTCCCGTGACCACTGCTCCCTGCGGCAGCGCTGCCTGCAGGCCCTGGCAGCCGTGTCAATCCACACCAGCATTGTGAGGGAGACCATCCCTGTCCTGCTGCAGCATCTCCGGAAGGTGCAGAAAGGTAACGCAGCCCACGACAGGCAGCTCCACGGAGCGCATCTGGGCAGGAGCTGCCTCCGTTACCAGGGATGGCTGGGAGAGAGCAGAGATGGCAGTGGGGCGAGGAGCCCAGGGCTGGGCTGTGAATCCCACCGGTGGAGGGGGAATAGTGGGGGCTACATTGCACCGGGATCCCGCAAAGATCAGCGGGGTGGATGCTGCAGCTGTTTGATGTGACCATGACTGTGTCCCGCAGGGAGCGAGGCCGGGAATGC